CATTGGAGCCCTCTTGGGGTCTCCAGGAGGCCCTCTTGGGCCATCCAGGGGGCCCTCTGGGGCCCTCCAGGGGGGTCCAAGAGGTGACAGAAAGCTGACAGAAGCGGCGTCGCTGATGCAGCGTCGTTTCTGTCAGCTCACGGGCCACATCGGGGCCCTCTTGGTGCCTCTAGGGGGCACTCTTGGGCCCTCCCACCCCTCATCAGGACACCATGAAGACACCTCCGAAGGACACCGCCATGAGTACGCCACCGTGAGGGCACCATGAGGACACCATAATGGAGATAGCACCATGAGAACACCACCATGAGGGCGCCGCCAAACTACGGGGGGTGGCGGCATGCGAACGCAGCCACTCGCGCCTTAGGTGCAGCTCCGTATGGGGCCACGAACCGTGTGAGGAGTGTGCCGAAGTGAGGGGTGGGCGGCATGTGAACTCAGTCACTAGGGCCTTAGGTGGGGCTCCCTATGGGGCCACGAAGCGTGTGAGGGGTGGCGGCATGTGAGGGGTGTGCCATAGTGAGCGGAGTGGAGGCATGCGAACGCAGCCACTGGAGCATTTGGTGGAGCTCCCTATGGGGCCACGAAACGTGTGAATGGTGTGCCAAAGCGAGGGGGTGGCGGCATGCGAACGCAGCCACTTGGGACTTCGATGAAGCTCTCTACGGGGCCACGAAGCGTGTGAGGGGTGTGCCAAGTTTGAGGGGGGCGGCATGCGAACGCAGCCACTGGCGCCTTCGGTGGAGCTCCCTATGGGGCCACGAAACGTGTGAGTGGTGTGCCACAGCGAGGCGGGTGGCGGCATGCGACCGCAGCCGCTTTGGCCTTAGGCGGGGCTCCCTATGGGGCCACGAAGCGTGTGAGGGGTGTGCCAACGTGAGCGGGTAACAGGAGGAGGGAGGAGGGGGAGGAGGAGGAGGAGGAGCAGGAGGAGGAGGAGGAGGAGGAGGAGGAGGAGAGGAACGAGGGGATTGTCCTTTCAAAACAAGGACCAAACTAAACACAGGATGGCTGGGAATCGTGACGACGGGGGTCTATAGGTGCTGTGGTTGTGCTGCTGCCGATTTCTCTTTCTCCCGATCTTCCCCCACCCCTCGCGCCCATCCCCATGATCTGTCGCCTCAGTGATTGCTGGTGGCACTATCTCCTGCCCTCCGCTCGGAGTCGTTCTCGTTACTGCGCTCGCGTGCTCGTGCACACCTGCCCTCTCGGGGCAGGTGCCGTGCAGCCCCTCGGTTGTGGTGGAGCAGGGGCGAGCCGCTCCGAGCTCAGCCCCTGCCCCCGTCCCGCTCTCTGCCGCCTGCTCCCCTCGTGTGCTCGCGCCCTTGCCCTTGCCCTGCCTCTTCCCCCAGCGCTCCAGGCGTCGCGAGAGCGAGGGAGAGCCCGACGGGTCCAGTGCGCTGGGCATGGGCATGTGTACACGTGTGCACATGCGACTTCTGGGCACCCCCCATGGAGAATACGCGACGTCGGAGGTCTTGGCCCTACCCCTCCTCCCCTGCCTCCTTCTCGTGCCCCCCCCCCCCACCCACCCGCCCCTTCGCTTTGCCTTCCAGCCCATGCCCTCTCTTCCTCTCCGCCCTGCCGCCCTCCAGGCCTTAACCTCGTGCCCCCTCCTCTCCTATTAACGCATCCCCTCGCCTGCTCTCCCAGCGCGTCGTCATCATCATGAGGGGCCCTTCCACGCAAGAGTGCAATGTGCACCAGAGGGGGGGTAAACGGGTAAACCATAATGAGCCATTCATTTTATCTAAAACGCCGATTTGACTTTGATGCTTCTCCCCCTCCTTCCCACCCACCCCTCTATAACTAGCTCTGATCGGCGGCGAACGAGGGGGGGGCGGGGGGAAGTGAGATGGAGTAGGCCTTCTCAGAAGGGCGCGGGGCTTCTCAGAAGCCCTCGGACCTTCTGAGGAAGTTCTCTGCATCTCCGGGGGAGGCTCAGGGAACTTCTCAGAAGACGGGGCACTCCGAGCCTGCTGCGGAGGACCACCCCCCTCTCTGCTCCCCCCCGGCGCGCCGACAATCTGAACCCAGACCCCCGACGTCATGATTTTGTTCATAACGTCGACCCCAAAGTTCTCGACCCGTTCTCCAGCAATGCTTTCTCATTCCGCGTCGTTTTTGTTGACGGTCCCGAGGCCCGGTGAGGGCCCCTGGGGGGCCCGAACATGGCGAAACACTTGTCGCCGTGACTTCTTCCTGACGCGAGGGGGGCTGGGCCCCAGGCGGGCCGACGATCTCAACGCATCCCCTTCAGTGATGGACCTGTTTTCCACCACCACCATAAGCTGGAGGGGAGGGGGTCCTCCTCCTCCATCTTCCTCCATCCTCCTCCTCCTCCTCCTCCTCCTCCTCCTTCCCCCCTACAACTTGTGGTGGTGGTGGTGGACAGCAGGCCCATCACTTTTTTTTCGGGGGGGGGGGCGGCCCGACCCAGCTCTGGGGTGACCCCCGACGGGCGCGGCGCTCGCGCGCGCTTCTCGCGGCGGCGGGCCCTGACGGGCGGACCCCAGCGGGCTGGCCCCAGCGACGGGGCCGGGCGGGCGGGGCGTCAACAGGTCCGGCGGGGCAGCATATGTACATATAAGTAGAGACAGAGATCATAGATATCCATATGTATATATATATACAGCTATAGCTACATACATCGGGACATACGTACATACATGCATACATACGTGCATATATATATATATATATGCATATGTATATAGTTATACATACACACATGTACGCGTACACTCATGCATAACGAGTATACATTTACATGCGTACATACAGCCATACATACACACATGCATGCATACCTACACACAAACATACAGACAGACAGACATACACACATATTCACATGCATGCATAAATGCATGCATACATACATTCACACATACGTACATACATACGTACATACATACAGACAGTCATGCATACATACACACATACCTACAGACACACATACACACATACATACATACATATAGCGACGCATGTATATATACATACATGCATGCATCCATATATATATATATATATGTATATACATCCATGCATACACCCATACATCTATACACATGCATACACATACACATACATGCATGTATGCTTGCATGCATGCATGCATGCATGCATGCAACTACCCGTACATACATGCATACATATACACACATACATACATGCATGCTTGCATGCATGCATGCACCCACCCACCCACCCACCCACCCAGCCACCCACCCACCCACCCATACATACATACATACAGACATACATACATACATACATACATAGATGTATATAAACATGGACACATATATACATATATACACACATACATACATACATACATACATACATACATACATACGTACGTACATACATACATACATACATACATACATACATACATGCATATACACACATACACATATGCATACAGTTGTGGCGGGTGGAGTTGTCCTCTCTTCCCCGGTGGAAGGCTGCGGAAGGTCGGCCGAAGGCGGCGAAGGTAAATGGAGGCGGTTGCGCTTGCGGAAGTTATTGGAAGGGTGGCAGAAGCGCGCGGAAGTACAAGATGCGCCCCCAAGAGATGGAAACGCATTTGGGTGCAAGGATTCCCGAATCGGCCATATATCTTTTTGAAATACGATCCAGGGGAGGCTTGTCCAAGATGGGTTGCCTGATGGGGTTATCCGGATCTCCGATGGGTTACCCAAGGAGGTTTCCGGGGCAGGTTGTCTTGTCGTCCTGTAGGTCAACATGGGTTGTCCAGTTAGTCCCGGGGGCTGTCAGGTGATTTTTTGATTGGATTATTGCGTGTTCCATTGGACATAGTAGGAGAGGGGAGGCTCATTTTCAGAACAGCCACTAGCCCTAGCCGAAGCAGTCAGCCATGCACCCTGTAGGTGCACCATGCCGCCACGGCCTGCATGCGCGCCAGTTCGCCCTCGGCGCCAGGGAAGCCGTTGTTGTTGTAGCCGGGCCGTCGGGCGTTCTGCGTAAACATTGTGAGGGCGTCCCCGGCGGGAGCGCGATTCCTGAGTGACTTGCGGGTTGGTGAATGAATTGCGAGAGCGGGGTTGGTGAATAAATTGTGAGTAGTAGTAGTAGTAGTAGTAGTAGTAGTAGTAGTAGTAGTAGTAGTAGTAGTAGTAGTAGTAGTAGTAGTAGTAGTAGTAGTAGTAGTAGTAGTAGTAGTAGTAGTAGTAGTAGTAGTAGTAGTAGTAGTAGTAGTAGTAGTAGTAGTAGTAGTAGTAGTAGTAGTAATAGTAGTAGTAGTAGTAGTAGTAGTAGTAGTCGTAGTAGTAGTAGTAGTAGTAGTAGTAGTAGTAGTAGTAGTAGTAGTAGTAGCAGTAGCAGTAGCAGTAGCAGTAGCAGTAGTAGTAGTAGTAGTAGTAGTAGTAGTAGTAGTAGTAGTAGTAGAAGTAGTAGTAGTAGTAGTAGCAGTTGTTGTGGTAGTAGAAGTGGTAGTAGAAGTATTATTATTATCATGATTATTATTAGTAGTAGTAGTAGTTGTTGTTGTTGGTTGTGGTGGTTGTGGTTGTTGCTGTTGGTGTTGTGGTTGCTGTTGCTGCTGCTGTTACTGTTACTGTTCTTGTTGTTGATGGTTGTTGTTGTTGTGTCGCTATCGTTGATGGAGTAGTTGCGGGAGCCGTTGTCGTTGTTGATCTTGTTCGGGGGTCTGCGACTCACACTGGGAGCGGAGCCCGCGCTCGAGCGTGGGCCGTCTTTTTTCAAAGAACATGCAGCCAGCGCTCGAGCGAGAGTGCTCTGTCAGTTTCCCGTAGACCAACAGTAGCTATTGACTAGAAGTGGGTGTTCAACAAACACAAGAACACACAACAGCAGCAGCAGCAACAACACACACATCGCATCCGGGCCACCGAATCCCGCTTCACCCACGCGCCCGAAGGGATGGTGTGAGACCGCTCGGCCATCTTTCACTCTGGCAACAGATGTCCGCGTGGATGATTTCTTCCACCCCTGCCCTTCTGCCAGAGGTCGGCGTCACCTTCGCGGACGGGCGCATCCTGGGCGACGTGCCGGAGGACCCTGTGGTCGGTGCTGCTGTGAGCTTCCCCGGCGGACCGTCCCCTCCCCTAACATCTTCCGTCCCTTTTTCCCGTCGTGGTTCCTCGTCTCGTCTTCCTCGTCTTTGTCCCTCTTCCTTGTCTTCGTTCTCCTCCCTCCTCATCTTCGGGGGCGGAAGAGAGGGGGTGATGACTAGGGGTGGGTGGATATCATGGCGTGGGCCATGATATTTCCCTATATTTCATGGCGCCTCTTCTTATTCCATTACGTCCCTGGCCCCCCCGCTGGGCCGCGCACATGCCGCCGGTCATGATTTGCACCCCCCCCTCTTGAACACCCCCCTCTTGGCCGCTCCCGACATCTTCATCCTGGCAACATGGCAACTGCGAGAATGGGTACCAATTGATGGCGCACCCCTCCCCCCTTGGGGCGGAAGCAAGATGGTCTACATAGTTGCAAGTCGGGTGCACCTTATCATGAACCCCTTGCAAACCACAAGCATCCAGCTTTCGCGCCGCAGCCCGCAAAAGCTGCCGAATTCCGCGTTCAAGCCGCCGACAACCGTCAGAAGAACTCCGAAGACCGCCGAAGAGCACCGAAAGCCGTCCGAAGACAGCCGATGACCGCCAGAGACGGCCCAAGAGGATGGGCAACGAGGGGTTGATGGACGAACACGTGACACCATGGCGCCCTCCTCCTCCTCCTCCTCCTCCTCCTCCTCCCATTTCTCCTTCCTCCTCCCTCCTTCCTGCTCCTTCTCCTCCTCCTCTCCTCCTCCTCCTCCTCCTCTTTCTCCTCCTCCTCCTCCTCCTCCTCCTCCTCCTCCTCCTCCTCCTCCCCAGGGCAGAGCACCGCCGGCAGGGCACCACAGCACGCCCCATGCCCGCCCAGGCGGCAGCACTCGCCCTTAGGCGCCGCGCGACGAGTGCGCGCCGCTGCTCGCTCGACGGGCCCGCGCTCGCCGATTGCCTGGAGCTCGGAGCGCTGGGCGCTTCCGCGCCGCTGCGCCTGGTGGCCATCCTTCCCAGACCTCCTCGGGATTTTTCCCAACCATCCTGTGGTGTTGGGTCCTCGTTTTGAAGAGACGGTGCCCCGCGTTCCCACCTCCTTCCTCCCTCCCTCCTCCCCCCTCCTCCCCCTCCCACACCCATTCTGGCACACCCCTCACACGTTTCGTGGCCCCATAGGGAGCTCCACCGAAGGCCCCAGTGGCTGCGCTCGCATGCGGTTCCACCCCCCATTTCGGCACACCCCTCACTCGGAGCTCCTCCACCGAAGGCCCCAGTGGCTGCGCTCGCATGCGGTTCCACCCCCCATTCTGGCACACCCCTCACACGTTTCGTGGCCCCATAGGGAGCTCCACCGAAGGCCCCAGTGGCTGCGCCCGCATGCGGTTCCACCCCCCCATTCTGGCACACCCCTCACACGTTTCGTGGCCCCATAGGGAGCTCCACCGAAGGCCCCAGTGGCTGCGCTCGCATGCGGTTCCACCCCCCATTTCGGCACACCCCTCACACGTTTCGTGGGTGGCTCCATAGGGAGCTCCACCGAACGCCCCAGTGGCTGCGCTCGCATGTGGTTCCCCCCCATTTCGGCACACCCCTCACACGGTTCGTGGCCCCCTAGAGAGCTAGAGAGCTCCACCGAAGGCCCCAGTGGCTGCGCTCGCATGCGGTTCCACCCCCTTTTTCGGCACGCCCTTCACACGTCTCGTGGCCCCATAGGGAGCTCCACCGAACGCCGCAGTGGCTGCGCTCGCATGCGGTTCCACCCCCCATTTCGGCACACCCCTCACACGTTTCGTGGCTCCATAGGGAGCTCCACCGAAGGCCCCAGTGGCTGCGCTGGCATGCGGTTCCACACCCCATTCTGGCACACCCCTCGCACGTTTCGTGGCCCCATAGGGGGCTCCACCAAAGGTCCCAGTGGCACTGCCCGCTTGCGTCCGCCACCACCCAGCACAGCCCTTGTTCCCTGCGCTTCACCCACCCAGAACAGCGCTTCGTAGCCCTATAGGGAGCTCCACCAAAGGTCCCAGCGGCACCGCCCGCATGCGTCCGCCACCACCCTGCACAGCCCTTGCTCCCTGCCTGCGTTTCACCCACCCAGTACAGCGTTTCGTGGCCCCATAGGGAGCTCCACCGAAGGTCCCAGTGGCACCGCTCGCATGCGTCCGCCACCACGCAGCACAGCCCTTGCTGACCGCGTCTCACCCACCCAGTACAGCGTTTCGTGGCCCCATAGGGAGCTCCACCGAAGGTCCCAGTGGCACCGCCCGCATGCGTCCGCCACCACCCAGCACAATTGCGGCATTCACAACTGCATATGGTTGGGTCCTTCGCCAGGCTAATTTCTTGTGTTTCCCAGCCATCCTGTGGTGTTGGGCCCTCGTTTTGAAGAACGGTCCCCGCGTACTCCCCTCCTCCTCTGCCCCCTCTTCCTCGCTGCCGTCCGCATGCGTCCCGCACACCCAGCACAGCGTTTCGTGGCCCTCCTCCCCCTCCTCCCTGCGTTTCACCCTCCCAGTACAGCGCTTCGTGGCCCCATACCCAGTGCTACCGTCCGCATGCGTCCCGCACGCCCAGTACAGCGTTCCGTGGCCGGATAGGGAGCTCTACCGAAGGTTCCACTACCGTCCGCATGCGTCCCGCACACCCAGTACAGCGTTTCGTGGCCCTCCTCCCCCTGCTCCCAGCGTTTCACCCACCCACTACAGCGTTTCGTGGCCCCATAAAGGGGGCCCCACCGAAGGTCCCAGTGCTACCGTCCGCATGCGTCCCGCACGCCCAGTACAGCGTTTCGTGGCCCCATAGTGAGCTCCACCGAAGGTTCCAGCGCTACCGTCTGCATGCGTCCCGCACACCCAGTACAGCGTTTCGTGGCCCTCCTCCCCTTCCTCCTTGCGTTTCACCCACCCAGTACAGCGCTTCGTGGCCACATAGGGAGCCCCACCGAAGGTCCCAGTGCTACCGTCCGCATGCGTCCCGCACGCCCAGTACAGCGTTTCGTGGCCCCATCGGGAGCTCCACCGAAGATTCCAGCGCTACCGTCCGCATGCGTCCCGCACACACAGTACAGCGTTCGTGGCCCCATAGGGAGCTCCACCGAAGGCCCCAGTGCCCCCGTCCGCATGCGTCGCGGAAGCCCACTTGGGCATTTTCACCCACCCAGTGCAGCGTTTCGTGGCCCCATAGGGGGCTCCACCCAAGGCCCCAGTGCCACCGTCCGTATGCGCCCGGGAAATGTAATTTGGCATTTTCACCAGCGCAGTGCAGCGTTCCGAGGCCCCATAGGGGGCTCCACCGAAGCACCCAGTATCACGTGGGACCGCCCGCATGCGTCCCAGAAACCCAATTTGGCATTTTCACCCACTCAGTATAGAGCGCTTCGTGGCCCCATAGGGAGCTCCACCGAAGCCCTCAGTGGGACCGGCCGCATGCGTCCCGAAAACCCAAGTCGGCACACCACCCACACAGTACAGCGTTCCTCCCCGCCCAGTGCAGCGCTTCGTGGCCCCATAGGGAGCTTCACCGAAGCAGATATTCACAATTACGGTACCCACAACTGCATATGGTTGGGACCTTCACCAGGATAACTCGGCCTTTGGAGGCCCTAACTGGCCCTCGGGACCGTCAAAAAACGACTCAGGATGAAACCCGGTCCCCGGGAATGTGTCGAGATCTTTGGGGGTCGACGTCTCGAATAAATTATGACGCCCGGGGTCTGGGTACGAAGAAAGAAGGCAGCATAAACATAAACTGTTGCCAGTCCGCAAGGATTTCTTGGATCTGCGCTGGGGCCCCCCTCTGGCGGCGCTTCTGGCGCCCCCTCCCTGGCGCGCTCCGCGCGCCGGGGAGGGGGCTCCAGCTCAGATCCAACAAAGTCCGCGCGGACCGCCAAATTAGCCTGGCGAAGGACCCAACCATATGCAGTTGTGAGTACCGTCTGTGTGAGCAACGCATTCGGTGGGGTTCCAGAGGGGGCCACGAAACGCTGCCGTGGGTTGGGGGACCGCATGCGGGCACCCCCACTTCTGCTTACGGTGGAGCTCCCTATGGGGCCACGAAGCGCTGTCCTGGGTGGGGGAGACGCATGCTAGAGTAGCCATTGGGGCCTGCGGTGGAGCTCCCTGTGGGGCCACGAAACGCTGCCCTGGGTAAGGGAACCGCATGCGGGCACCCCCACTGGGGCTTCCGGTGGAGCCCCCTATGGGGACACGAAACGCTGCCCTGGGCGGGGGAACCGCATGCAAGAGCAGCCATTGGGGCCTTCGGTGGGGTTCGCTATGGGGCCACGAAGCGCTGCCCTGTGTAAGGGAACCGCATGCGAGAGCAGCCACTGAGGCCTTCGGTGGAGCTCCCTATGGGGCCACGAAGCGCTGTCCTGGGTGGGGGAACCGCATGCGAAAGCACCCCCACTGGGGCCTTCGGTGGGGCTCCCTGTGGGGCCACGAAACGCTGCCCTGGGTGGGGGAACCGCATGCGCCCACCCCCACTGGGACCTTCGGTGGCTATGGGGCCGCGAAACGCTGCCCTGGGTGGGGGAGACGCATGCGCCCCCCCCCCACTGGGGCCTTCGGTGGAGCTCCCTATGGGGCCACGAAGCGCTGTCCTGGGTGGGGGAGACGCATGCGAGCACCCCTACTGGGACCTTCGGTGGAGCTCTTCATGGGGCCACGAAACGCTGCCCTGGGTGGGGGAACCGCATGCGCCCACCCCCACTGGGGCCTTCGGTGGAGCTCCCTATATGGGGCCACGAAGCGCTGTCCTGGGTGGGGGAGACGCATGCGCCCACCCCCACTGGGGCCTTCGGTGGAGCTCCCTATGGGGCACGCAACGCTGCCCTGGGTGGGGGAACCGCATGCGCCCACCCCCACTGGGGCCTTCGGTGGAGGTCCCGATGGGGCACGAACCGCTGCCTTGGGTGAGGGAACCGCATGCGAACACCCCTACTGGGGCCTTCGGTGGAGGTCCCTTTTGGGCCACGGACCGCTGCCCTGGGTGTGGGAACTGCATGC